CTCTGGAGGCGGAGCTGGTTTGCTTTTGGGGACATGCGAGGCCCTGGCGGTGAAGCACGCTCATTTGGTTCGAGCTCTTCAAGGACAAGAAGTACCCTGGCTGGGGAGTTTCATGTCCGCGATCTACTTCAAGCTGGAGCGGCAGTTCCTCGACCGCATGATCGAAGGTCCTGAGCTGCGAGCACGACGGCCTCGGCATCCAGCTCAACGGCTTGAGCGAGGCTGCGCTTTTGGAGGCCTTGAACTTCAACCCGATGGTCAGGGTGGCGATCAAGGCGCCCCACGACCCGCTCGAGTTGGCCCGGGAGCAGTTCCCAGGGGAGGAATGGGTGGGACCAGCGGCGGTCTCGAGTCTCCAGTTCGATGCCGCTGAACTGCACAGAGCGCTCTTGGTGACTCGACGCTGCGTGCAGCCCATGAAGCCGCGGAAGGAAGACGAGCCGGAGCCGCCGAGCGCCGCGGACAACGCCGTCGTCGGCAAGGTCCTGGCCGCACACTTGGAGGGCGACGTCTTGGTGCCGGAGGGTGACAACGTCTTCCTGCAGTACCTGCCGGACAAGAGCCGCTGGGAGAGCCAGAAGATTTGTGACAAGGGCTTGCATGGCTTCGCTCGGCAATACAGCCACATCTTCGAGCCCGTGCATTGCTGCTGGGTGGACGGCGTGCTGCAGAAGCGCCCGCGGGGCGGCAGGCTCCGGCCGCATGTGGAGGTCAGCTACCCGCTTGGCAAGCCGAGCTTCCTGAACACTCTGGCCCACGAGAGCTTGATCTACCTGCGATGCCCCGCGCCCAAGCGCTGGACGACCCGCTGTGCACCAACCACCGGGCTCTTTTCGAGGATGGCTGGGTCTACGACTTCCCAGAATGATCCACCCTGGGGACGCGCCAAGCCCGCGCGAAGCGCGCGAAGCGCGTGCGCGAAGATCGCGCGCACGCGCGAAGCGCGCGAAGCGTGCGCGCGGAGCGCGCGCGCCCGAAGCCCGCGCGAAGCGCGCGCGAGCGCTGAAGTGCGCGCTTAAGCCCGGGCGAAGCCGCGAGAAGCGCGCGAAGCGCGCGTGCGAAGCCCGCGCGGAGCGCGTGCACGAAGCCCGCGCGAAGCCCGGGCGAAGCCGCGCGAAGCCCGCGCGAAGCCGCGCGCACGAAGGCGCACGAAGCCTGCGCGAAGCGCACGCGCGCGCGTGAAGCCCGCGCGCAAAGCGCGGGAAGACGCGCGAAGGTGCGCGCGCGCAGGTGTGCGCGCACGAAGCCGGCGCGAGGTGCTCGCAACCGCGTGAAACGCGCCCAGTTGCGTGCGCGAAGCACGCGCGAAGCCACGGCAAGCAGCCCGCGCGAAGCGCGCGAAGCCCGCAAAGCCACGGATCCGCCACACACAGGCGCGATGGCGCGAAGCACGCGAAGCGCGAAGGTCCGTGCGAAGCCGCGAAACCCGCGGGAAGCGCGCGCGCGTGCGCAGGGGCGCGCACGAAGTCGGCGCGAAACCGCGCGAAACGCGCCCAGCTGCGCGCGCGAAGCACGTGCGAAACCGCGCGAAGCAGCCTGCGCGAAGCGCGCGAAGCCCGCAAAGCCGCGGGCGGATCCCTTATATAGGGACATGCCACACAGAGGCACGAAGGCGCGAAGCACGCGAAGCGCGTGCGTAGCCGCGCGAAGCCGCGCGAAGCCGCGCGAAGCGCGCGAAGCGAAGCCGCGCGAAGCGTGCGAAGCGCGGGCGTAGCCGCGCGAAGCCGCGCGAAGCGCGCGTGCGTGTATAGGGCGGCGAAGCGCGCGAAGCGCGCGCGCGCGTAGGGCGCGCCCCAGGGGGACCATACTCACAAAGTCCGAGTGTCCAGCCGATCTCGATTTCATTTTGCCGCGCACGTGG